TTAAGTTATTAATTTATTTAAAAGACTCAAAGTTAAAACATGTTTCTAAGATTTCCCGATTTATTAGAACCATACCTGGTTGGTTTAATAAAGTCAGTTTTGAGAATTGATAAATTTGGGCGTTATTACCATACGCAATGAAACAAATTATACGGGAAGCTGAATAAGCGCAAATTTCAAAAGTGCAAGCTGGCACAAATGCAAAACTTTCATAAGTGCGAATTGACATAAGTGCGCCAAACAAATTTGCAAACCTTGGCATAAGTGCAAACTGGCATAAAAGCAAACTGGTATAAGTGCGCCAAAAGAGTTCGCAAACATTGGTATAAGTGCAAACTGTTATAAGTGCAAAGCAGTTGCAAAAACTGGCATAAGTGCGAACTGGCATAACTGCGAAACAGTTACAAAAACTTTCACAAAAACTGTTACAAAAACTGTCTCTAAAAAAAGAGTTATGTACTCTGTGACAAGATCGTTAGGTCTTGTCACAGAGCACTACGGAAGTGCATTTAACCAAGAAGTTCACGCCTCCTTCCTTATCGTGACGCGAAAATATGTTTATTCCACTAAAACCACACTAAATAGGAATGAAAACCACACTTCATTTTTGCGTGAAAGTTTCATATGGCCTGAAATAATTTGATTGAAATAATTTTTTTCGCAACATCAACTGCTTTACCACTTTGAGGACAAATGTGATCAACATGAACGTTGTTGGGATATGAACAGATAGCGTAATGATCTTCTTTGATGGAAGTAGCCCTGCTAACTTTACCATCGTCTTGTTCCAATTACCTTGAGGTTTTGTCTACACCGCCATTAAAACCGATTCCAATGATTCCTGTGGGTAATTCTGCATGTTCTTTGAAATCTTTTTGTCCCCACAGATTTCCTTGTTTTCTAAATTTTACTGGATCAAATATGGATTGTGGTGAATCAAATGATAAATCTTTTAAGCAAGCATTAATGATTTTGCATGCATCTCGGTTGCTAACTTCTGTTCGTTCCATTATTTTACAGATTTCTTTGTACTGAAATATATTGCGATACTTGGGATTATGTCCACTATGTGAGCTGTCTTCTGAATTAGTAGCTTTGTCATATTCCTCATTGTCATATTCCCCATTGGAACAACTCCTTTCTTTATTGCTCTCCCAGGAAAGAATTATTGTCAATGACGAACCTTGGCGCGTTTCTGTATTCTTTTTTCCAAACTGAATTTCCTGTTCTTTACAAATTTTCTGCTTTTGGAGTCGTTCTGTTTCTTCTTGATTAATCTGACCAATCTACATTTTACGATTACTCTTTTGATTGAGCCAAAACTCCCATTCCTTAAAAAAAAACTTTGGCGGAACAACGGTAGTTTAACCGGTCCCTGATAATACGATTAACACATTTGCAAAAACAAATGTCAAATACTTTATTGAACGAACCAAGTTGGCACTGAAACATGGATGAATTTCTCTTTTCATCAACATATTTCTTACATCGTTTTGTATCAGTAACCAATTTATCCAAGCCTTTCATTATTTGATATTGTTGGCAACCCCGCCCTCGACCATATATTTTTCAAATCATTAGGTACTTTCTTATTTACATCTCTGATTGATGGTTCTTCAGAGTCTAAGGATTGTGAAAAAGTCTTAGCGTGTCTGATGAATAGAAAATGCTTAAAGATTTCTGTTTTTGTTGGCAATTGACTTTCTGGAAATTTACAGGTTTGGCCTAATGCTGAATGTTCTGTGACACTTCTGGTTATGATAAACTTTTTCTTCAAGTTCTTTATGCAATCTTAAAAGAATAAGAATAAAAAATCATTCGTAATCCACATTTACAAATAATAAATTTAAAAAAGTCATGTTCTCTTGTGAACGTAAATATAAAGTGCCAACAAATCAATACACAAACATTCAAGCAATTCTACAATGTGTTAAACTTTAACATTAACAATCAAAACATATTTAAAGTATGCATATTTCAATATTAGTATATATATATATATATATATATATATATATATATATATATATATATATATATATATATATATATATATATATATATATATATATATATATATATATATATATATATATATATATATATATATATATATATATATATATATATATATATATATATATATATATATATATATATATATATATATATATTATTGTTGATAGGTATAGTATTCTGTTAAAAATACAGCTCTTGTCTGCTTAAGAGTGATCAATATTTCTTTTTAAAATAGATCGAATTATATTTATATAATTTAAATGAAAAAAATGCAACTTTTTGTGGAACTATTAGTTTCATGCCATTCGGCAATCATTCAGCCGTATTATTCGACATTTACAAAATAAAAAACCGTTTAAAAATACAATTTTTTAGCGTTGCAACGGTATTTGACGTCAAGTGTACGTCAGACGATATCGTGAGTTCCTAATCTTTGGTATCGAGTTGTGAAAGCAGAAATTTTTATTCTATGCCTGCAAAAAGAAACCAACTCACTTTTTTTATTAAGTAATGATGCTTGATCATAAGTCATAATTTAATATTTTTCATATAGACAAAGATTACATCTTTTAATTGATGGATTATATGATTGACACTTTTTAATTATGTTCCACTTGATTAACCTCAAATTTATACAAGTTTATACAAACTATCAAAAGAAGAATATAATAAATTGTTAATGAATGCTACTACTTCCAATATTAAAAAAGCTGAAGAATTTTGAAGAATCACGATATATATAACAAAATCAATATAAATGGGTCTTCTGATTGTTTTATTACATTGAAAGACCATAAATCAAACTTTTTTAAATAAACCTACGGTTCGCCTTATAAATCCCGCTAAGAACGAAATCGGAAGAGTTAGTAAGCATATTTTATCTGATATTAATACCAATCTAAGAAATATTTTGCAACTAAATCAGTGGAATAACACACATAACGTAATTAATTGGTTCAAAAATATTAAAGATAAACACATTAATAAATTTCTTATTTTTGAAATTGTTGATTTTTATCCTTCAATTAACGAAGAACTCCTTATCGACTCCATTTACTTTGCAGTGCAATATGTTACCATCGCTACTGACCATATTTGACGCGCGAAAATTTTTATTATTTACCAACGACCAAGTTTGGATTTTATAGCAAGCATGATTTGGGGTTGTATAGAGATGATGGCTTAGCTGTGTTCAGAAATGCAAGCGGTCCTAAAATGGAAAAAATTAAGAAACATTTCACGCAAATATTTAAGCAAAACAGCCTTAGTATTTCTATCCAATCTAATATAAAAATTGTTAATTACCTAGATGTAACATTCAACCTTAGCACGAGTTGTTTCCAACCATACCACAAACCTAATAGTACGTTAAATTACATCCACGCTAGTTCCAACCATCCACTCAATATTTTAAAACAGTTACCAACTTTAATTGACCGTAGGTTATCAACCAATTCTTCCAGCGAAATAATTTTTAAAAATACTGCCCCTATTTATAAAGATGCATTAGAAAAGTCTGGATTTAGAAACAACAGACAATATTATCCATATGTAGGCCTAAATAATACTAATAAGCAAAAAAAAAAAGCATCATATGGTTTAATCCTCCGTTTAGCAAAAACGTTGTCACCAAAATAGGACACCTTTTTCTTAAGTTAATTGACTTGCATTTTCCTTTTCATCGTAAGTTACACAAGATATTTAACATAAATACAATCAAAATTAGTTACACCTGCATGCCGAGTGTTGGATCAATTATTAATTCACACAACCAAAAAATATTACGCAACAAACCTACTGCTAGTGTCATCAACTGCAACTGTATTAAAAAACCTTCATGCCCTTTAAATAATCAATGCTTATCTAAAAATGTCGTGTATAAAGCCACTATATCTTTACTAACCCTAGTAATTCCAAAAAATCATATATTGGCATCAGTGAAAACTCAGGTTTGCAAACCATTTAAAATCATTTAACGCTACTAAATACGAAAACGATACAGAACTTTCTAAAGAAATATGGAAGCATAAATATGCAGGTATTATGCCGTTAATCAAGTGGAACATAATTAAAAAGTGTCAATCATATAATCCATCAACTAGAAGATGTAATCTTTGTCTATATCAAAAATATTTAATTATGACTTATGATAAAGGATCATTACTTAATAAAAAAAGCGAGTTGGTTTCTTCTTGCAGGCATAGAATAAAAATTTCTGCTTTCACAATTCGATACAGGAGATTAGGAACTCATAATATCGTCTGACGTAAACTTGACGTCAGATATCGTTGCAACGCTAAAAAATTGTATTTTTTAACGGTTTTTTATTTTGTAAATTTTGAATAATATGGCTAAATGATTGCCGAATGGCATGAAACTATCCAATGGGAAAAAAGACATCTTTAGACGAATAAAATGTGTCAATTTTATGACTTGTTATGTCTTTTTATAATCAGCCAAAATAAAGACGTGGAAAGACGTCTTTTAGAAAAACGTCTTCAGAAAAGAGGTCGAAAAGACGTCAATCGGTTATTAATAAGGAAATCATTATTTGCTTAAAAAAATTAAAAATAATTATTGCCAATAGAACCTAACAAAAATGAATTTTAACCCACAGTATCGTATTTACGATATCTTTGTTACGTTATGATTGGCCCGTTTTTTGTTTACAATATATATATATATATATATATATATATATATATATATATATATATATATATATATATATATATATATATATATATATATATATATATATATATATATATATATATATATATATATATATATATATATACTGAAATAAATATACAATTGCAGCTGCTTAGCTAAAAAGTTAATCGGAAGAAGCAAAAGTGGATGGGGTGGTGCCAGCCCAGTGGGCAAGCGTCGTCCGGAGGATGTCTGCTGGACGTCTCACGGACGTCCAGACGTTCGTAAGACGTCCAACGGACGTCCCCCGGACGATGCATGCCCACTGGGAGTAAGATGGTATCGATATGATCTAGTCTCAATTAAGTTAGTCGCAGGTAAGTGTTTTTAAAAAGTTTGACCATTTATTTTTAGACTAATTTTTTAATGTATTGTGCTTGAAGAACGTTGTTTATTACATATTAAATTAAAATATTTATTTTCAGACGAAAAATAAAACCTGTAAACAATATCTCTCTATATTTACTTGTTCAAGTGCCAGTGAAACGAACAATAGAAAAAAAGAAGCATTCAGTAGGCTTGCAATTTTATTTTTTATATATTTTTAAATGATCTGAATAATTTTGTTGTTTTTATTTAGTTGAATGATGAAATTGTTTATACAAAAGATTGGCTTTTCAACTTTTATGTTAAATATGTTATTTCCTTGTTAACTGTTGTCTGTCATTGATAAAAATACACATAATGACAACAGATTTATCTTTAGAAATGTTCGTCAAAATTTTTGGTTTGGATACAAAAAACCAAGTGAAAATGATACTGGAAAGGTACACTTTCTTATATCTAAACATCATTGCAGCTTTCTAGTCTTCATTTTTGTTTATGTGTATTTCATCTGTGTTGCTAATGATTCGCCAGTTTTTATGATTTTATGTTGTTAAGTAAAGCATCCTTATGTTTCAGGACTAAAATAGAGCTTTGACTAATACTTTTTTCTAGTTTAAATGAATAACAACTCTCAAGGTGTATTAGCTGAATTATCTTTTTGTTTTGATAGTCTTCAGTCAAAAACGGATTTTTAAATTGTTATGAGTCTACAACACTTAATTTCAGCGAAATTCAATTAAAAAATCATGTTATAGAAGACAGAAAAATATCAATATCTGTTTTCAATAACTTGGTTTTCATAGCAAATCTGAGAGGTGCAAATGTTTAGCTTGATTTAAGTACTACATAATAAAATACATCGTTGTACAGTCATTTTGATGGTTGTAAATTTATTTAGCACACTCATTTTTATATATTTTTAGACTGTTTACCGTTTAACTCCTGTCCCAATCTAACCTAGTGGGTTCAAAAAGAAGGGAACGCGCTGGAAAATGAGTGGATTAAAAGGATCAGCCCTTTTTGAATTAATAGTCGGTAAGTATAATGTGCTCCACTCAGCTAATCAAGTTTCGTTTGCTTTTTTTGTATTACATTTAAGTCAAAATTACACTCATTTTTTAGAAGTGGTAACCAGCTAGAAGTCGTAACCTGCTCGTATGAAAGGATTTCTCGACGTGAAATTGTTAATTTTATTCAACAACGCCAAGAAACAGAGCTCGCTCAAGAAACAGAAAAGAAAGAGAAAGATGAAAAAATATTCTGTTGAACAATACTATTGTTTTATTATTATTGTATTATATTATTGTATTATTTATTCTCCTATATTTAAATATATAAAAGATGTAGAAAATGCTTCCTCTTTTATATTGACATCTAAAAGAGGTTTTTTTCTCGGCATCGGAAAAAGCTTTTTGTCATACTTTGTATGAAGAGCTATTATCATTTTCATTTGATAATAGCTTTTCATATAAGAAAAGTAGGAATACTATAGTGTATAGGATACTATAGTATACTAATAAGTATGGCAAAAAAGTCGTTCCGACCCCGATAAAAAAACACTTTTTTAGATTTGCATATTCGACTAAAAAAAGGCGTCTTAAAGACGCATTTTTTATGTCTTTTCATGACAAGATTAAGACAAAAGAAGACGTCTTTTCGATGTCGAGAAAAAGATGTCTTTTAGATTCGCATAATCGATTAAAAACAGACGTCTTAAAGACATCGTAAATAGGACTTTTAAAGACGACTTTTTGACGTCTTTTTTCCCACTGGGTAATAGTTTCATAAAAGGTTGTATTTTTTCATTTAAATTATATAAATATAT